TCTGGTCATCGAGTGAAACGGTTTACGCAGGTTAAGAGATAAGAGTACCCTTTTGAATCTGGTAAACGTCCTACCAAATCCAGATGAACGTGGTCGAAACGAGCGTCGGGAGTTTTGAAGGAGCCTAAGGGACATTTGTTGTGTCTAATCAGCTTAGATTTCTGACAGCTTATACAGGAGCGTGCTCATTCCCCTACGTCTTTACTCATACCAGGCCAGCGAAATCGTTCTGCTGTGAGCTTGATGGTTGCAGGAACACCTGGATGAGATAGTTTGTGCAACGTATTGAAGACATTGCGTCGATATTGTGCCCCCTTTACTTGAATACTGCTCTTTTATCTTCTCTAATATGAGTACCACAGACGAGAGTAGATGATCATAGACGCTTTACATGCCAACTGCTAGGAAGTAACTCCAATCTCGATTACACAGATAGATGTAAGAACCTCTCTTCAGAACTATTATGGCACCGTACGTCTGCTCAACTATGATCCATGATCCAGCCTATAGACTAATAAACGATACATGTACACTACTTACCATGAAACACCAAAAACAAATGCGTTGCAGGCTTTTTACAGTGCGGCATAGATTATTGTGGAACAGGTTGCCAATACCTACCCGTAACTGTGACACTTTTACCACGTTCAAGAGTCTAATAATCCTGTTTCTTGACTCTAAAGAGCTCCAACTACTCTTTGAACTCTTGTCCACCAATGAGGCACAGTACTATGGACTGGATAATATCTGGATGGAACAAGAATATAACGAGCCCCATTGTTATTAATATGAATATAACTAGATTACAGAACATACGGTTTAACCCCTCCTATTGTTTACTGATTACTAATCATGGCCTTATGCCCCTGACCCTCACTTTCAGTTCCCAGAACTTTCTAATGATTAAAGAAACATTATTCTTCCTAAGTGTCATGTCCTTTTATTTTTATTGCAAGTAGACAGATAACTCACCAATCTTATGGATGCTAATCAACTGAGGATGACCATGAGAAGCTCAAAACGTTCCAAAGTCTTGTGAGTTGCTCAGTGTTTGATTTTTTTTACACTAAAAATTCGAGAATTTTATACTCTTTCATGTTCTTTGATTTGCTATTAGTCCTTACCATCATTAAACCACATATAATCTAACCTGTTTTTTTTTAACTTTCACCATTAGTTATCTTCATAGCAGTATGATATATTAAATGGACATCTAACCCATAATACAATTTTTTTAACTAACTGATTTGCTTATAACATGAAACTAGTAGAGACGGTGTATTCCAACTGTGGGCTTTAATTAGAGCAGTATTCATACTTACCACAAACGTAAGAGAGCCTAACATCACAAAAGAAGGGAGGGTGGCGTTACTGACCAGCAGACATGTTAGTGGGGTGATAACTTCAATCCACCCATGTCTGTAGGGCAGAACATTTTGTTTAATTACGGCTTCTTATTGTCTAGTGGAATGTCATAAACTAATGGTATTGATGCCGACTTATCATGCAAAATACCTCATCAAATCGTGTTTATCACGTTGAATTGGTTCCACTTCCTATCCACTAATCCTATCACAAGCAAACTAAAAAATTCGCTGAAAACGAAGCCTACTCAAGACTATAAAATCTACAAAAAACATGGACTCAACTAGCTTCGACAAAGAAGGGAGACGGCCATATGTGTATCAGAATACTGTTTTCAGCACTATATTTTATAACTCTATCTTACAACTACACATAATGCCATACTCTCAACTTCCTTCTGAACCGCATCAATTTGTCAGTTGTTTATTCACTCATCACTTGTTTACACTTATTTTCTTTAACCTACTAGAATTCTCTTGCCCAACAAGTACTTTAATACAAGAGAACTAGACTGAGTCGTCACAGTTTAACTATTCCTTCATGAACATTGCCTGCTCTACTTCTCGTTCTTTCTTTTTCTTGCACTCTTTTTCAGCTACCTTGAGATGTGCCACCGAGAACAGATATGGAAAGAGTGATTTCGTCCTGCACCATCATTAAAGCCTCAGATATTACAGAGGGATATACGGTTGCGATTTCTGGAAGCCCTAAACTCCACATGGATCTATTCTCGACCATCAGTTGCACGTCGCAAGGCAACCGTCATAAAGCGCGCCAATTGTGATACTGACTAAAGCCATCTACATTCATACCTTATAAAATATCAATGCAGCTAAGTAATTTACTACGGTGAAAATTGTATACTTTGCAACAATTTGACCTTGCCAGTAAACTAGCATGTCTCATGTAACAAACTGTTATTTGAGAATAAATTATTATTGTTTTAATTATTATCATTAGATGCGAGGCATAACAAGGTTTCCTTACCTGTTCCCATCTGTTCAGTGCTCAGTTTTAGGGTTGCTGAAGGTAACTCGCGCTGAAGATCAGTGTCTTCTTTTCGAAGCTTGGCGAGTTTAAGAGGATCGATCCCTTGGCAACTGTTAAAGAAAGTTTTATGAGACTACATTGTTTGCTGCAGAAATGTGTTGTATATGTGAAGTAAACTGCGAGATGTAGTCCAGATGTCAAGACTATCAAGGTGAGTACTTGTCTGACAATCATCTTAAGGGGAATTTAAGGGGTTTATGATCAGTGAAAACAGTGAATCCTCGGCCTTCATTAGACTGTCAAAAGTTGCGTACAGCACAATACATAGATATGAGTTCCACACCGAAAGTGCTATGTTTCGATTCAATGTCTAGCAATCATCTCGAGAAAAATACCAAAGGTTGCCAGGAGTGGTTGACCCACTGTTGTAAGACTCCTCCGATTGCTGAGTTGGATGCGTCTCCTAAAATACTAATGGGTGTGTAGCGATAAATAAATCCCCAAAATAAATAGCCCTGTAAGTTTTCGACATTGGATGCTGACCATATGTTTTAGTGGACTCATCTAGCTGAAGGCGCTCGGTCAGGCATCCGCACCAGATCACGTGTGGTAACGCCGTGCTCAACATCAACCGCAATCGCTAGCCAGATTAGATCAGAGAATTCCGATATTTTGGCTATCGCCAAATACACTCTTTTGATCTCCTCGACTCTGTCTTTTGATTTCTCTGGGTGGGAACGAAATATATTAGAAGGTGTTACTGGTAGAAGCGTTGTCAAACACTGAATACCTGTAACATCATCATGGGCATCGATTTCAAAGGTGATTTGGTACAGATGTATGAGGATTAGAATTTAAGATTCCTTTAAAAAAATGTCCTCCACAACATCTTTGTGATATGTTCTCCAGCTGGTCAGTGCTAACCAACAACCTTAAGGATAAACTGTCTCATGTGAACAACTCCGTATGCATTTGTCAATTTATCCTTTCATACGGAGTCAGGTATATCGGTCGATTGACACGTACTTAGTCCAAAAGGATCAGAGAACATCATCTTGTTTGGCTTAGAGGAGGCGAAAATGTCTCTATAAGAAGCCTCGTTATCTTTGTTTTTCCTCTCACTTTTCTCTCTTCACAGATATCTGTTTTCCTCGTATCTTCACCACTGACCATTTGCTCCCAAGTATTTTTCGTTTTTCTGTTACGATGATCCGAATGGCTATAGTTAATCTCAACTCCAAAATCTTGTCTAACCAAGCTGAGTCGATGACACTTTCACTATTTATCAGCATGATGATTAGTCGAGCTCTTGACAACAAAACTATTATTAGTTTCTCTGATAAAAAATAGTTTATACTTTGCTTAGTCCATTTCGTTATTTAACAGAATTTTTTGAACACCATTATTGCTAACATTATCATCTTGAAGAATAATTCTGTACTTGCAATTGCATAGCTTTGAAAATAAAATTGGTGAAAAAAGAACTCTTAGCTGAACAGATTTTTACTATGTTAGATTTTTTGAAATCGTTCAATGTGTTATTTAGGGATTCTAAGGATGAAGTAGAACTATGGAAAATGTGAACGAGGACAATATTTATTCTCAGAAGAAGTCTGTGGTAAGCAATCTCGTAGCCTGAGTGCACGTAGTTTCAATTATCTGGGATGTACGCCGATTCATAAATATGATTGGTATGATGAAGTTAATGTTCTCCACTTTATTTAGCTCTACACGACTGAGTGCCTCAGGCTGTCATATCTCTCCATAATACTATTGTAAGTGGGAATACATCTTTATGTCTAAATTGTATAGTTGATAGCTACACTCCCTTTTTTGTATTTTTTTCTTCATAATCTCGAAGACGAAGTTGTTAGGTTCAAAAATGAATGCAATTTTTTTAGGAAAATGTTCTGTAAACAACTTGTGGCTTACGAGGGGATTTTAATTCTAGCTTATATATTCAGATGACTCATATTGTTGATATAGCTCGACGTTATGGTTCTCAGTACATCTGTACGAAATTTGAATTTGTGAAGGCTTATGGGCAGATCAAGGTCAGATGGAGTTTTCGTGTGTTTCTGAGATAGAACATTGCTTACGAGGAATAAAACAGTTTTGAGGTGCCCCATATGGTGAGTTACTCAACGAAATAAGTTATATTGAGATAGTTTGGATGATGTTCAGAATCCTGTTGTAACACCATGCTCTCATATTTACTGCACGTTTTGTATGAATAAGCATTTTGAGAAGAAAAGAAGTGCCAGCTGCCCGCTTTGTAACAAGGATCTTTCTTCAGGTGATACTTTGTCTCTGACTTTACTTTCCAGGTCTTTAAAGAGTTCGAGCAAAGTTGTAACTGTAATCGACTTATGTAAGAAAGTTATATCGACTTATGAATCTGAAGCAAAAACTAAACGTTGGTTATGTGATTTTGCTGTTTATCTCTTTAGTTGTCTCACGGGACCTTGTAGGTAGCTTGCATCTCAGTCAGGAGCTGACACAGGTAGCACTATATTTGTATTAGGTAATACTTTGACCACTAGGTGGATGTAACTGCTTCATGTGTCTTACCAAGTAGTAGAAACTCTGAAGATTTTCAAGTCAGCGGTGAGGAGTCGCGCCCTCGACCTCGCAATCGCATTGTTTTGGGCACCACGGCACGCACACAACGAACAAAGCAAATGAACAAGCAGCGCAGTGCTTTACCCTTTGAAGAGGTTCTTACACAGCCAATGCGCAGTTTGTGTGCCTCTACCGAAGTAAAAGAGCTTAGTTTGCCAAAACAAGATGTAGAGAACCATGATGCGTTCCTCGATATATTTAGTCTTACACAACAAACTCAACCGATGATAGATTCATTCGATAGTGGTTCATTGTTTGCACCAGTTGAAGGTATGGGTCATAAAGACTTTTCAGACAATACTCGTGTAGGTCACACTACTCAAAAAAATGAATCAAAACCTATATCAAAATTACTTCGGAAAACTTCGAAAAGGATTAAGCGTGCTGCATGTTTTCCGCCTCTCCCACCAGTCACACGAACTACGTTTTGACGCGTAACAGTCCAGAAGCTGTTTCTCATAGTTCCCTACCTTCACATAACTCTGTGTCACTGAAAAGGTCATCTGATTCACAGTAAACAATGTCGAAGAGAATCGAATTGTTCTGTTTTGTCTGGTCAGGGGTTCGTTACGAAAACGCACGAGGTTTCGTGTCATGTACAACCGTCAGAAAATGTAGGTATCAACACTAAGAGCTTCAACAGTCTCTTCAACCAGGAGGAAACCAAAAGTAAGTTGGATATAGAACCATTGTTCCCCATAAACCAACGTCAGCTTGCAACCCAAAGAAACGTTCTCACTCGTTCAGTGGGTCTTTGTCTCATACTTCGTCAGTACTAGTTGGCAAACGCTTGCTTCAAAAGTATCGTAGTAGACCTCACCGTCTGTCAACGACTCAGCATAGTATTTCTACCAAAAGCCCGGGTTGGTCTCGTTGGCGTCAAATGTGTCACGAACTGAGACGTCGAAGTTCGTCATTGCGAATAACATTTCATAGGTCATCTAGTTTGGTTGGTAAAGTTGGATCAAAAGCTTCTGAACCACACGAAAGTCGCAAAATACGTACTATTAGAGATTTTTCTGGACGTTCCTCCCTTTCCAGTCTCGGCATTTCCTTGCCTAAATGGGGACGTAGTGTTAGTCGAAGCAGACGTAGGACTAGTGAGAAAACAGTTGAAACTCCTTTGCCTCATGGTAAGCAAGAAGATATATCCGATATTTCACTTAATATCGTCCAAGAACACAGTACAACATCAAACAAATCTCAAAATGGTTTCAGTCCAGTATCGCGTTTAACAAAAGCGGATTGTCCTAAAGAAATGTGCCATTTTATTATGCCATTGCGACGTCTGATTTCTCGTGACTACTTTCATTCGAAGTCACTACGCTCTCGTCTTCGTTCTTCTCTGCGTCAAAATGAAGCTGCTGTTTCTCCTATCATTCAGGTCAAGTCACCACATGGTTACTCTGCTTATAAATGTGATTTGGACTCTCCTGAACCTCGTGGACAGCTTAACGGGTCTAACATCTCTAACACATCATATTCAGCAGTGGATTCTTGTGAAATTTATTGTCAGCCTTTACATTGTAGTGCTTGTGGGGAGACGCTAGTATTACATACAGATATCAATAGTGCAAATATGATATCGCCAGGACCACAGTTTTCGGAATTGCTACTCCGTCCACCTGTTTCCATTCTCTCGAGCTCCATGTCTTCCTCATATTGGCAGGCTGAAGACCCAGGATATACAATCTTTACGGATGCTCATCTAGATGCTCTGGTTGAGGTGAATCGCCGTTACATATCAGAATCTGATGGAGATCGCAATCTAAAGCATTCTAGTGTATCTCTTCCCAGAAATTCCTATAGATCGTACCTCCAAACCGATTCGGTTAGTTTACTTTTAAACAGTTGAACAGGCATTTTGTTTATAAAAAACATCCTATAAACCTTTAAGTATATATTCTGAATGAATTTGGGTTTAAAATATAAATAGACCATGAAGGACTTAATTCTCACTCTTCTGAGAATAGAGTATGTCTGGTTATTTTCAGCATTCATCTTCAAGACAGTTCTACCAGAGTGTTTCTGCACTAAGGACTTTGCACATTGTGATCCTTATGAGTGTTTAGTCTCTCAGATGAAGCATCTCATGGACTTCGGGTGCGGGGATAAAGGGGTTAACAAAATACCATCTCTTGAATGTTTTGGATAACAGTACTAGAGTGCCTAGGATGTGTTTGTCATTCTCTAAGTGTAAAATGTTGCTTCAGTGCCTATTCACACCAGTTTCTAATCTGGTCAACATTGAATTGAACGCGTTGAGTATTTAACTTGTGATCTCAATCCTTTCTTCCTCTGAGCTTAATTGACTGATGACATCTTTTTAGAGATAAAGCTCACTTAACCTGCTTCCCGTAACATATACAAACCACAATTACTTATCAAAGAAATAATGTACTGCGGAGCAGTTCGCTCCAAATTACTTTGAGACTGTAAAATATGGCTTGTAAAGTTAGGGTGGACGTACGAGTTACAAATATCTAGTAAATACCTTCGAACAAAACCATATAATAGTCAGCATTGCTATTAGTGTAGACTGATTTGGTTGTGAACTCGCATAGATTTGAGTGACCGTTCTGTTGAATGAACATAGATTTGCAAACCTGTCACCGTTTTCGTTCGCTTCTCCCAGTCTTAGCAGTTCCATGATATCTTCATATCCAAAATTGTCAATTCCGACTGCCACGCATCGGTTTCCCCTCAGGACGGTTGGGTTCTTTCCTGGACACTTCACTCTGATTGATTGCGGCCTATCGTAGAACTGATCCTTATTTTCGTGATCGTTACCGTTGTTTGGTGCATTACATTGCATGAGATTCATCGAAACTATGTTGGACCTACATATCCTCAAATTACAATTGATGTGGCTTTATTTAAAACGTATTGCTCACATTGACTAGAAGATACATTAGAAGTGACTTCATGGAGAGAATAAACAACATTCGATATGGGACCATCTGAACTGTAATTGCGTTTGAATTCACCTGAGGCTTGTGCTTCACACTGATCAAGTTTACCACCAGAAACAAACACAACATTACTATGGTTTATACTTCTGAAATGTTTTTCTCAATATCAAAATTGCATCAGATTTCCGACAATGATTTGACTGTTTAAATATATTTTCCTCAGGTTCATAAGAAATTTCACTAGGAATACACGAATCATTAGCGAAACGATGTCTAGCACAAAAACATGAGAAATCTGGTAAGAAATCGATTCATTAAGAGTTTTTGTCCCATAATGATTCTGAGTTTCATTCGACACACTTGTATTCATTGTGCTGCTCCATTTATTTTCGGAATACGAGTCCTTGAAGCTTTCCAGACAAATATCACGTAAAATATGATTTTGTTTTGATTGGAGTTTCGAAGTTGCGCAAACATAACAAGGCTTCATTTAATCATGGACTAAAATACGACTCCATACTGCCTATGTCAACAGTAAACTCATGGACTGAATCAAGGGAGGCATATAGTTGCTTCCGAACATAAACGTCACTTTCCAAAGCCGTTTATAAAGATAAACGATGTCCAATTTAATCGCATTTGAGGCACTTAATGTGATAAAATATACATAAATTACTTAGGTAAAATTTATTACAGGATAAGCATTTACAAAACATATGCTCACCTCTGTAACCTGCCTTGCAACTGATCAATTAATTGTTATCTGCGTGACATTGAGCACTAATTGGATTGGAATAACTAAGCTATATAGTAGAAGTCATGATGTTCTGGCTAGTCATTTTACTACATTTTGGTCTTTCATGGCGATCGAACTAAGCACACTTCACATGATTTATAGGTTGTTCCTTTAGAAATGCTTAGGGAAGTGTAATTGGCCTATCGGATATTGCTAGTTATTAGTATTCTGTAGACATCACTTTCGATAAAGGTTAGGAAACGAGCTAAAAATTTGCCATCCCTAACATCGTTCCTTGTCAATCTCAAGACTTTAGACCCTTTTATTTATTTTTCAAAAACTCCAGAATTTGAATGTATATCCAACCGGTCAATTTCAGACCCCATCACGAGGCCAAAGTGACAATTAGAAAAATTCTGATCATTGTACTAACTTGGAATTCTCGAAAAAGTGCAATTTAACAAACATAAATAGATTAGCACAAATGAAAGTTTTATATTTAAAATTCCAAATAGGCGGGTAATCAAACACAATAGAATTATTACTTCGTACAGATACCACAAGGTTTAAGCAACATAACATAATTAGGTGTAGAGGTAGTGTATCGGTAATTCACCAAACATTTCATAACGCAATTAAACACTGATGACACAGTGTGCTGTCACCGTCAAATTACTTACGCCAGTTACTCCTTGTGAAGGAGCATAGGCCGCTCACCAGCATTCTCAATCCAACCCTGTCCTGGCCAATCCTTTCCAGCTCCTTCCAGTTGTTATTCATCCTTTTCATATCTGCTTCTATTATCCGACGTAATGTGTTCTTTGGCCTTCCTCTTTTCCGCTTCCCTTCAGGATTCCAAGTTAGGGCTTGCCTCGGATGCAGTTTGATGATTTGCGTAATATATGTCCTATCCATTTCCATAGTCTTTTCCTAATTTTTTCTTCATCTGGAAGTTGGTTTGTTCTCTCCCACAAAAGGCTGTTGCTGATGGTATCCGGCCGATGGATATTGAGTATCTTGAGTGGACAGCTATTTATAAATACTTGTACGTGTTTGATGATGATGGTTGTTGTAGTTCTCTAAGTTTCAGCTCCATACAGTAGAACTGCCTTGACGTTGGTATTGAAGATTCTCACTTTGATATTGGTTGAAAGTTGTTTTGAGTTCCATATGTTCTTCAAATGTATGAATGCTGTCCTTGCTTTGCCAATCCCTAACTTTACGTCTGCATCTGAACCTCCTTGTTCATCGATGATGCCTCCCAGGTATGTGAAGGATTCTACATCTTCCAGAGTTTCGCCATCAAGAGTGATTGGATTGCTGTTTTCCGCTTTGAATTTGAGGACCTTGGTTTCCCCTTTTTGTATACTGAGGCCTACTGATGCAGAGACTGCTGCTACACTGGCTGTCTTCATCTGCATCTGTTCGTGTGTGCGTGATAGGAGGGCTAGGTCATCTGCGAAGTCCAAATCGTTTAATTGGTTCTGAGCTGTCCATTGTATTCCATGTTTTCCTTCAGATGTCGAGGTCCTCATAATCCTGTTCCGCTGTTCTCGAATTTCAGTGGTTGGCTTGCCTTTTTTGTCTTTGACCGGCCTTTCTGGTTCACTGTATTTCCCTGCTGGTTTCTTCGTTGTATCGTAAAGCTGTTTCATATTTCCTTCTCTAGCAGCTTTTTCTGCCGTCGTTGCTAGTACTTCCACGTATTTCTTCTTGTCGGCTCTAATGCTCTTCTTCACTTGCTTACTTGCTTCTATGTATTCAGCTTGTGCTTCGACTTTCTCTGCTCGTGTTCGGCTATTGTTGATTGCTGCTTTCTTGTTCTTCCTTCCTTTGATCTTGTCTAGAGTTTCTATAGAGATCCACTCCTTATGATGGTGTTTCGTTAGGCCCAGAACCTCTTGACACGTTGAAGTTAATGCTCCCTTGATGCTTTTTCAGTTGTCCTCCATAGTAGTTTCTTCATCCTTCAATAGATCTTGTAAGGCTTGGAACCTGTTGCTGAGAGCTATGTTGGATTCATTGAGTCTGTCAGTATCTCGAAGGAAGGCTGTATTGAACCTTTGTATTGCTGTTTGTCCAGTTGTTCGGTTCTTCTTTAGCTTAGGTTTTAAATTGGCCACAACTAGGTGGTGATCTGAAGCTACGTCAGCACCTCTACTGGTTCTTACATCTTCCATTTTCCTTCGGAAATTTTTATTAAGGCAAATATGATCTATCTGGTCCTCTGTAGTGTGGTCCGGTGAGATCCATGTAGCTTTGTGTATACGCTTGTGTGGAAATATTGTACCTCCTATGACCAATTTGTTGAATGCACACAGATTTGCAAATCTTTCTCCATTTTCGTTTCTTTCTCTCAGTCCATGTCTTCCCATAATATCTTCATATCCGGTGTTGTCTATTCCGACTTTGGCATTTAGATCTCCCATCAGACTGGTGAGGTCATTTCTTGGGCATTTATCTATGACTGATTGCAGCCGCTCATACAATTGATTTTTAATGTCGTCGTTGCTATCATTGATGGGTGCATAAAATTGGATAATATTCATTGTGATCCCCTCCTTCTTTGTTTTTAATGATGCTTTGATGATTCTGGAACGGTGAGATTTCCATCCTACAAGTGCATTTCGTGCTTCTTTGGACAGCATTAGAGCAACTCCCTGAGTGCGTGGAGCATTTTCCTCTTCGTGACCAGAGTATAGCAGCATCTCTCCTGTAGCTAGTCTCTTCTGCCCAGCTTGGGTCCAATGGGTTCCGCTGATTCCCAGTACTACCAACTTGTATCTCCTCATTTCCGCTGCTATTTGACTGGTCTTCCCAGTTTCCCACATTATTTTTTCTGGTAAGCGTTTTTTCAGCGAGTTATTTTTCTACGGGATGGGGACGCTAACCCCATGTCCAACCCTCCTCCTTTACCCGGGCTTGGGACCGGCAGTAACTCTAGAAGAGATACAGGCGGAGTTAACTTCATATCACTTCACTGTTATTTTAGAAAACAGATATTTTTTAAATGTGCTATTTTCTACAAGAGGGTTATGTAGTGTCAGTTATTATGCTAAGCACATATACCTTATTCCAGCCTTCGGACATCCCATTCTATTCATTCTACTTGAGTCATATGCTGACCTTGTTAATTATTCGCTTTTCATATGAGCGTATATGTGTGTATACATCATATCCCATGACTCATTACATGTATGTAGCTTATTTTTGTCTGAATATAAATATTGAGTAACGCTTGACTAAAAATGAGTTGGCTTACCAACCATCTCCACTGCGCATGATTTTTACTTGGCTTCACCGTGTGCTTGCTTGCTTTACGCTTGCGGATTTTTATTAATCATTAACAATGAATTATCACTACAACTGATGTTCAGGCTTTTGAATAATCTCGAGGGAATGCATAATTCTACCAGGAGATTTAGCCTGCATTAAATACTCGGTTAACTGGATATTATTTATTGGAGTCAGATATTGAGGACATTAGCCTCAAGTTACAGTATCAGTAGTAGGAAAGGTTATGTATGGCAGGAGAAAGTGTAACAAGATTTCTGGACTCAGGATTCAAGGAATGATGGAGAGTGAACACATTAGCGCAATCGCAAACGATTCTGAGCCATGTCACACCTACATATGCTTATGAGCCATAATTACCCAACATTGCAATTATTTAATAGTATTCTCCTGAACCCCGAGACAAATAGTGTATAAATTGTTTATCAGGTACAGATTTGTGCGCATCAACCTTCAGTAACACTATTTTAGATATAAAAGACTAGTGATACTACCTCATCCAGTAGTTGAATACTAATTGATTTAACCATAATATTGATTAATTATGGGGTTCACAGAGAGAAAGCTCATTAATCGACCATTAGTCTGAAACACTGAACGAAAGCACTGACCAACATCCTTATGAAAATGTATGTCAAAGCTTTAATACATACATATTTGACGAAAGTCTCAACAGTCAATACGACTAGACGTTTACGTTTTACGCTACGTGTGTCACCAAACCACTTGCACAAAAGTTCAACGAATCAAAAACATGCATGTATCTGAATGGTCCGTCCGTAGGTACTAGGTAGTCACAACCATTTATAGTTTGTAATTGCTATTTAATTTTTATGGAAGAGCACAGATAAAAAGAAACAAGAAATATATATTTTTAAAGTTTACCTATCATCATCAGACCATCCACATAAGAATTTATCAAAAATAGCATCATTTTCATACAACATACAAAGTTGTGATCGAAATGGTTCATGAACTGAATAAATTTCACACGGTCGATCGCCCATTCTCATATCCCAAACTAAGGTAGAGAAAAGTTTAAGATAAACAGTGAGTGAAGAAATCGGTAAATACACGAGTAAAGCATTTCTAGCTTCCAGTAAACCACAGAAGTACGTAGGTTGAGTTTCAAAAGCTTGAACTTCAACCAGCAGCTAGACCAATAGTATCTAATGAAGTGTGAACAAGTAATAGCTCATATCTCTACGAAACTGTTAAGGCGCACTCACCAAACCGAGTGTGAATCCAACCCAGTAAATTGAAACCACTTGTGATTCAACTCAAAGGACACAAAACCGTAGCAAGCGAGTTACTACACTCACATAAACTGGGCAAGCATTTTAACCCGTAACTTTGTACGTTGATAAAGAAACAATGAAGGAAACTTATAAACCAAAAGAAAGTGCTTCTATGAGAAGGACGCGATAGCAGTCGGAGGGGAAAACTAGGCATTATTATCATTAAATTTCTATGGAACGATGTTTAAAATCACCTCGAACAATATCACACAACAATACCAATAATAATAAACAACGGAAACCATTAAGATCGTTATGTTCGTCATACGGCTTACTACTACACCTGAAGACTAGGCCACGAATCGCCATGAGGCAGACAGTTCTACCAACATGTATAGAGCTATCGCACATCTCGACAATTAACATTGAGGAAAACTTTGACAAACCATTTTATCATAATAGTTTTGAAACGCTGACAGGTGCCTGTGAATTACTTTACTATCTTTGGTGTGCAGCCATACTAGGACCTACTGCTTTAAACGTTTGGAATTAAACAACAGCGTGCGTATTTTATTGTGAAAGTGTGTGTTCAATCTTTCCCTTCGAGATATTAAACAAATCATCTTCCACATGCGGTAATCCAACCCAGTCTGCCGAACCTCCGAGGTTATGGCGCTCAGAACTCAACATCAAAACCATATCTTTCTCATTTTAAATTTACAATCCGAATATACATTAGTTTACAAGTCAGTCTGTAATAAGCAACGTAGAATCTGGAATATGTGTGCATCAGTTAACGCTCCAACACCACGTCAGCACAGTGAGGTGAAATAACTGAAACAAGTCTCAGAGTGGTGAAACTAGTGACAATATCAGTTGTGGTACAACGGATTAGGCATAAACAATACTCAATAAACACAACTATGTGCTTACAAGATGGATAATTGTGACGGTGCGCGTATCAATACCAAGGTTCGACTAAACAATTTCAAATAAATTAAGTATCAGGTAGAATACTAATCATAAGTATCCATACATTTGTTCGTCTTATACCCTAAAACGATGACCACTTGTGTGTGATGTAGTAGTGAAAGCTGTCAGCCACTTTCTAAGGTGAACAGCATTATGACCCATACGATACGCCTCATTATTCTTCTGTGTTTCAAAGGTTGTAAATTTGGAGCTTATATATGTGAGACAAGTAAGGCCTATTTCTTGGTGAAAACCATTTAGTTCACTCTTCTTTGAATATGCTTTGAGTCGGCTATACACCTCTTAGACATGCGGACATGATGAAGAATATTTTTAGAGATGGAATGTTGAATAAACACTAAAGACAGTTTCAAGTAAACCTGCATTAACTGGACTTCTGCAGAAACACTGCACGAGCAATCGGCATCAGTAATGATGAGTGAGGTTCTGGAAGCTCTCAGAGAGTTCGATATGGACGGAGTATCACTACTCCTCAATACAAGTATTCTGAAGTTACTGCTGTTGCAGTGAGGGAGATTACTATCGCTTTGGTCATTTATCTTACATAATTCTTCCTGAAAATCTAAGACATCATTCGGTCATGTGTGGTAAAATGGAATAACGTATGCTTTCATGTGGCCTATTATCCTACCATTAATTTATACATCACACTTATCATTTGTGATTTTGTATTCTACTTCAGCGCAATGATTGACTGATAAACTGCCTTGATTCACTGAAGACTGAAGATTGTGACTTTGATATTGGTTGACAGTTGTTTCGAGTTGCAGATGTCCTCCATTTGTAGAAATGCTGTCCTTGCTCTGTCGATCCTTAATGATAGAGAAAGTATACTAGTAAAAAGACTTTGTACAACAATATCAATAAAAAGTCATAGCTGATGAAACAAGCTACTGGCTTGGTATGTAAAACACTATATTCTTACGGTTGTCCACATATTCCACTGGTCTAATAAGGTATATTGTAAACTGATCACAACTTGGTTAATTTCAACACGTTTTCCAGATGAGAAATAATTAATTATACTTAGCCCTCAAGTTGGCATTCGGCTAAGTGTCCTAAGCTAGTAAAGAGAAGAGAATAATTTTAAACCAACAGTCCACAAGGGCTTTATAAAATAAAAAGAATAATATGACTCTAAATCTACCTTAATCACCACCTACTATAGAAAGGAAATTTCCACCGTATCCTCGCTGCCTCGTAAATCTGACTCATAGGCTAGCATTATTGATATACTTTTTAGGAAAACAATCCGCTTTGTTCTGAAATTCGAAAACGTCAAGTCCACCCTCAAGAAAAATCCAAAAGTCCTTAAATACATATAAAATACCAGTTCTATAAACACTTGTTGGCATATTGTATTCGCTTGTATACATTCATTCTACTTAAATGTAATATATTTTGAAAATCTCCACAGAATCCGTAGTCATTTACAGACATGATCAGGTTGATTCAGAAAATCATGATACATGTGCTGGATGGATATTTAATGTTAAATTATTTGAGATGTTGTTTATAAATTGTTTTCAAAGGGTATTTTCGTTCCTTAATATCTGTTCATACGCACACGTTGACCATCCATAATTACATTTGATTCCTGATTATTTGAATATTTTGTAAGCTATATATATATATATATATATATATATATATATATTAGTTTTCTGAAGTATAAAAAGAGTATGTAACAGATCAAAGTAAAAATAGATTACTGATAAAAGATAATTGTTAACTTGAAGAATATAAAATATTGTAAACGTTCGGTAGTATTGAGTTATAAATTGTTGATAAACATTAAATACAAAAGTGAAGTTGTGCAACGATGTAACGGCTAATGAAAAATGTTAACATAAGAATAGTTTATTAGAGAAAGATGACTATACATTTGATGAATATGAAAAACAGAATAATTACATTTGATAATAGCTCATTAGTAATTCGGAATAGTCCCTTTGATAACCAACCAGAGTAATGCTCGAAAATGAAATTATAAAGAGCTCTCTTTGTGAAGGAAGTATACTAATATAATTTACTGATGAACTACAAATATGATTACACAGCTTCAGTAAGTAATATCGCCACAGAACAGAGTTACTTTGATACATTGGCTATATTTATTCTTCAATGACACAGTGGAAATTCATTACATTTCATGTATTTTAAATATTTTGCATAGCCACTAACCTTTATAGACAAAGTGTTTTATGAATGTGATTTTGCGCACAATCTTCATAAAATTATTCAGTTTAACACAGAAAACTAACTACAATATTTTGTAGATTCGTATAAGCTCAATCGATAGAGGAATAGTGTATATGACCACAAGTAACAAATGGGAATTATTATTAGTAGGAAAGAAAAAATGATATGATATAGTGACTTCAAAAAATAGTTAATTAATCCGTATAATACTAATCCATATATACTAACAGTACATGGTTGAGTAAAAAGAAGTACTGCTTTTGTTTATGTAGAAATTTGTCGTTGTACCGAGTATTTATTACTTCAAATGTTGTACTGAGATTGACTACATGTTAAATTTTATTGAGACATCTGTCTGTGTTACTACTGGGAATTCTGGGATTATTTGCAATCAAATTACTTGTTGTGTGTCTACAGAAGTTCTCAGTGAAGACCCTCTATACTCTTGCAACATGGATGCTTCTGCTATTACAAATTAACAGGTAAATATGACAAAAGAGACTTAGTGGATACGTTCAACTCTCTGATTATATCTTTTGTGCTATATAAGACAATTAAATTGACAATAGGTAAAGTGAATGAAATATTGGCTACTAGTCAACAGGTATTTTGTGGGTCTAGGTCACAGCTTTTCAAATGAAGTTTGAAAACACATTTTTTGAACATTAAATATAATTCTCACCAATTATGGATGCCATTATTCCCAATGCTAAATCATTAACGTTTGGTGCCTCTTGATTATTTTGTGACATACGAACAATGGCTTGTACAGATTCAGCTAAAAGTTGTATAGATATACTACCCATAAATACAGAGAGTACAATCACTGCTAATGGTTCAAGTCGTGTTCTCCCTAAGAAGAAAATAAAATAACAGCATTTTAGAGATCTTATTTCTCTTTCACTTTCAGATGATTTTCAAAAACCCAACATTAGAATGAAAATGGTTGATAAATATTTCAGTAAATTTAATAATTGTAAAGCATAAATAATAAGTATCTTAGAAATGTACACTAAGATCTTGAGTAATTACTACAATCATCCGGTTTAACAACATAGCTAAATGATGATGATGATAATTCACTTTCAACCATTTAAGAGCTCATGCAATCGCATACCTAAGACTGACAATTTAGCCACATACCTTAATAATTTATGAGTTGCATAACTCGAAAACTTTATTGCAAAGAGTCACGTATATTGATGTACAAAGTCTGTGCTCAACCACACCTAGAATGCTGCACGCTTACTTTTAGTAGTGTGTGCATACAGTATAAATTAAGGTTAGAATCACTATAGAGATGATTTACACTTCAGATTGTTGGAATTGATTGCACTATGAATTATAATTCCAGATGTAATAAACTTGTGCTCGACCCTTATTGAAGAGAACTCTCAAACTAGATTTTGTCTTTTTCTTTAAGATGCTTAATAAACTATCCTTTACATCCAGTCAAGTAATTCAATTTGCAGAAATTTCTATTTACGACATCAGTAACTCCTTGTCACTAGTGGAATAACCAATTGTAAACCACCTCTCTATATGGATTTCTTTACCTGTAAATTTTCTAGAATCTTGAATGATCCACCACAATCTATCTGTAAGATAAAATCACTCTCACCCTTTGTTCGCTGCATTGATGCATACTGCTCCTTTGAAAATGCACTAAATGTTCTAGCACCTGTAAGTGTATCTTAATCCACAAGTCAGATTACAGGAACTTTAAACACTTAACCATTCTTGTTACTGAATTCATCAAGTAAAGCCACCTACCTGCTGTTGCTTTACGTTAACACCGTCCTGGTAATCGTGAATAATTTGAACAATATCTGACATGAACAGTTTATCATTGAGTCATATGACACATGCATTATAGTAGACATGACTGACACATTTTAGTAATTATTGCTTTGTTGTCCCGTGCTCTCTGTTTCCATTTCAAATCCTATCGTTGCAGAAGATTACGATTGATTCTTTATGGCACAGGAAACGACCTTAAATGCGCTGTTCATAAATCAACGGGATGTCCACTTAATAAAATCAAAACTTTCCGGCCGATGCATTGCATTGCTGCAATACATAACATAAAGGTACTATCTAGACATTTTTTAAACTAGTAAACTTAAAACAATCTTATGCCACATGTTTGTTCTTTACATTTAGTGACACAACTTAAATCAAGCTGATCATGCCTGTAAACTGGTGTAAATTCTGCAAACAATATTTCCAGAATATATACATATATTGATATATACATATATCAATTTCTTCCTGCTGATTGGGTGTCAATTAAGTTACATGGATTTTAGGTTTTCTCACGTTTACGTAGTATATCGCTGCAATAAAATCATAGAACCAACTCAATTAATATTGAAAAGAGCAAGAATAAAGATTCTAGCAGAATAGCATGAATTCATTTTATTTCGCAGGTTCTCGTCAGCTGCTTACAACCTGTGATATTTGAAATCATAATTACATAATGGGTTTAAATTGCTTACATGAGAGGGTTTGTTTGGAAGTTTTATTGAAGACATATTCGTAAAGTATATCATGGGTGTAAATGAAAGAATATTCTACAGCATTAATTGTGACAACAGTTCAAAAGAGGGTTAGAAACAATTGATTACGCAATGAATAAACATTGATACGAATATAGTGGGTAGAGTTCAGTTGAAAGATTATTAATTTGAAAGATAGTTGAAAAATAAAGTCAATGATGTAAAAAATACAAAAGAAAAACAAATTTAAGGTGCAGCGAAAGAATATTTGTCACCAAGGTGTGGAGATAGACTTGATTAACCTATTTTGTAAATAGTTTTTCATATCTTTTGCATTTATTTTGCCAATTTCCACAGTCTGTACATTTATCATTAATCGATTGCACTTGTTGTTTAAGTATATGACCTTGAATACATACATTCTTCCTTCTGTTTTTGAATCCCACATAGCATGACATTGTTAACTGCTCATAATTAAATGCACTTTTATACATACGTCTCTCGTTCTATCATGTTTGTGGATATGATGACGGAACGATTAATTAACTATCATGTATATTTATAGACTGTTGTAACATTCACATTACTTTCTACGTTCGGATATACTACAGGAGCCATGTCGTCTCTTTGGAATTATTATTTACCTATAATTGTGGATTCTGGTACCATGCCTGTGATTAGTTTTTCTGTTGAATCAGTCAAATCTTTTTGTATTTATCTGCCTTGAACCTCAGTTGATCGTCTACGATTGACTTCATCTTAGTGACATGATCAGCTGTATTCATTAGGACGACACCTGAACATTTATCCCGTTGTAAAATCATCACCTCATTATTTTGCTTGATGTGCCTTAGGGCTGTTAAATGTATGTATTTACAATATTCAGTCTATCAATTTCATTTACACCCATGATATACTTTACGAATATGTCTTCAATAAAACTTCCAAACAAACCCTCTCATGTAAGCAATTTAAACCCATTATGTAATTATGATTTCAAATATCACAGGTTGTAAGCAGCTGACGAGAACCTACGAAATAAAATGAATTCATGCTATCCTGCTAGAATCTTTATTCTTGCTGCTTTCACAATGGTAAAGGGAACTATGTGTATCAAATAATATTAACGAAACTTCTCCTGTTTTCCGGTCTACATTTTTGGTTCGTAACTTGATCTCGGAAACCAACTGCTTTACACAACCTTACAGCTTTGCATAAAATTCATGATATGCTCTTTGCATCGGCGTTTTACGAAATGGCTTTGGTGTATATATATTTGCTCACGAATTACTGTGAAATACTTGTGATTTAGCACCTCGCATTTGTACCGTAACAGTCCCAATCACTCATACATTGAAATTCATCATTTTGGTGCTTTAACAGTCTGTATATAGTACATTTGGAGAGTTTTTAAAAACTAGCCATCAATGTGAACGAAATGTTCAATTGAACATGAAATTCTCTTGAGAGAAAATTTTACAAATTCATCAAACAGCACGATCACGTTCACTGTCCTCAGTTCTATGAGTACAGTTTACATTAATCTGTAATTGACGAGAATCTACTTACATCAAGTGGACAGTTGAAGGAGTGGTGAACAAACTTCTCTCACCACAAACTTAATACGGATATGAGAAAAATCAGTTAAACTTGCGTCACATTGAAAATCACATCGTGATAAGAATATTATCATTAGCACTGTATTCAGTGTCCTCAATTTCATGAGTGCACTTCTCATCAGTGTTTCATATCATGAGAACTCAATCACAGTCTTGTAACAAAACTCAAACTGTTTATGAGAATGTTCCAGTTCACTGTGTTTGATTTCACACCAAAACAGTATATAGACAAACGTTCAAACAAACATGTTCGTCAGAAAAATTGAGTTTAGAAGTAATATGTTGCAGGAATACAACCTTCTAATAAACGCGATCACTTTACTGATTTCACGTGAGTACATTTGTGGGTAATCTTTAATCACTTCACACGTAACGGGTTTGGGTTACTTCAAGTGTTACTCATTTACTAGAATTGTTTTCCCAACTTATTTGACGGTGGTTGGTTGAAGGTAGTTGACGAGGCACTCTAGACTAGTGTTACATGTTGATTGGCAACTTGTCCATACAAAAGTATCATTTTGTCCCAGATTATACTCCAAGACCTATTCGAATATCAGCTAGTAAAACGTATTAGAGTTTCAGATACTCCGTGTACCGTGGCATTATGGTCGTCATCGTCATTTTCATAACAAGCAAAACTACATAGACTTTGTGTGAACAATTTCTTGTTGTAAGTGGATATTGCGTTTAGCTTGATTGTGGACGGTGGATAACTGTTTGGCTTGTTGAGCGACGAAAATCCACAAATAGATAAGTCAGATTTAGAACAATTTCAGTGAAACATTCGACACTAGTTTCTTGTTTAGGAGAACATGGGTATAGACATATACTGGTCGAACAGTAAATTCTTGGCCTGGTTACCATGTCAATTTGACGATATGATTTTGTACCATGTTCACAAACCAGATCATTGTGAAACGAATTTGATTATTTTACATGTAAATACAAATACTAACTTTTAATTCCATGCACTCATTTATGTGATTTAGTAAGTGGTCTCATCTGCGAAGCTCAGTCTCCTATCAAAAGTAAGTCTCTTGTTCATACTGTAATGCTAAAGTTGTAAATTGTCACACGTAAGAATCAGACGGCACCAGCAGTTTCTTGAATATGTCTACTAAGAAATAAATCCCAGTCTGCAACTAACACAATGTTCCATCCATGTAGCGTCCTCATTACGGACCATCACACCCGCGCTTATTTCCAATGTGTTTTTCTCAGTTTGATCAAGAACACCATCCAACATGGTGAAGTGTAGAATGAAAGGGGAACGTACAATCTCAGGAACATTAACTGTCTACAATTGTTAGTTAGACTACTTTCCAACATATACATCGCAATTAGTGATGAGAACCCAGACAGAAAGAAAGTACCCTTTATGGATGGAGTGATGTTTTCTTTCAATTCTAAACTCATTCAGTGTTTGTATTTCAACTTTAGGCTGCCTCACTGGTGTTGGAGCAGATAGTGAACAATATTGATGCTCTACATGTTCCATTATCTTTTAGGTGGGATAAGCGCCACTATATCGGAATATGGGGAACATTATGTATCAAAAATACATAATAATTGTAAGCAAATATTATTTACCCTTATTGTTACTCCAACTGGCATTTGAGTGGATGTATTTAAAAATAGTCATTACTTGTTAGTTGTGCATGAGAACATCATGTCAGATATTGTCTTTTCGGTTGTCTAGATAAACTTCTCATTATGGCACTGGGACCTGATATGAA